ACCAATACTTTACCAGATCAAATTTCCAACAATTTCAAATAAAATATTCAACTTCTGCAATTTTTCCAAGCCTGGAAAAACAAAAACATCCAAGATTTGCATAACCCATATGAATTTCATATACACTGCAGGCCAAATAAACATCATGAAGAACAAGAGATGGTAAAAGTGTATTTACTGGACAAATTTTACAATACACAAAGATGATTAATTGTAGTCGCAGCCCAATATGACCTTCAGAACATGAAGAATTCAGAAGGATTTGGACATGTGCTAGGGAATGGACCAGTATGATGATGAATAATGTGAGGGTCGTAATGTGTGTCACTGCAATTCCAGCCATCTTGAACACAACCATTCTGGTTTATAGGCAGGATTAGATTTTTCTGTAAAGAAAATACAGTATCATTCATTTGTCCATGCCCAGCATTCAATGGATTATTGCAGCCCATATACTTCCTGTACAGAGTGTACGGTAATTGCAGCAATGGATGGCAAGCAAAGTTTTCTCTCCTCTGCAAACACCAAATAGTACAGACCATCATGTTATGTGATCCATCATAGTGGACATGACATTACTGTTCTCTCATTCACTAGTAAGATGTTGATACAATTGTTCCCAACGGTTGGATAATTCCCTTCTGCACCTACTAATGTCATGCCCAAATTCACTGTGGCTTGTAGTCTTAATCATTCCAATCAAACTCAAACTTACTAAATGACTGACATTTTTTAAACAAGCTATAATGAAGCTTCTCATACAGTGGGAAAATAAACAATTCTAGTACTGAGAACAACTTACTGTTGTTACCCCTTTTTGGAGATGGTAAGTAGGGACAATACCTGATGCATCCTGGTGCTCCCCATTTCTACCTGCATATAGTACTTACTTATGCACGTGATTTGTATATGTGCTGCACTTGGGATAACCAGCACTATGTTTATGAATTTGATACATTAAAAATTTCTAAAAACTTTAATTTTAAAATTAACTACTGCTGTTGAGCGATCCAACAATTTTATTTTTAGTCACATAACATACTGAGATGTGAATAATGTCATCTTATACTTTTAACAGCTACAGATGTAAAACATAAAATGTAATTTCTTAAAACAATAATCGCTTAAATTTCAAATTAAGTTAACACATTTTAAAAATTAAGATGAATTTTTTTAATATGTTTTCTTTTACAGCAAATGAATTACTCAACTGGTAGCCCATTGTTTTCAAACACTTGTTTTTTGGCACAAAATTTCATTTTGTTATTTCTCCCAAAACCAAACTAAGAGCTTTTTTTTTTTTTTTTTTGACACTTAGTTCTTTTTCATATTAGGCCTAGAATTATTGATTTTAAATTATATAACTTTTCAGGTACCATTTTGAGATGGAAGTAACAAATTTAGTGATTATGGATATTAAAAAATTTACTACCAAATTACTTCCCTTTCCTTTATGCTTCATGTATTTTTCTTTTGTATAAAAAATAAGGCAATATCTTTGCTATCCATAATCACAAAAAATATTACTCACAAAGTGTGAGTACATTAATTTAATATACGTTAAAATAACACTGCCTAATACTTGACATGCGAACGGTATCACTGTAAAGATCTTTTTTAAATTTTTTTTTTCGACTTTCCAGCCTCATGTTTTGCAAGAACACGCTTGCAACATACTCTAATAGGTAAGTTTTAAAAGACAGTTTTCTGAAATATATAGTTATGTTTCAAACACATTATCATGCATAAACTAATATAATATAAACACATTAATTTAAATGTGATACAACAGAATGACTTCAAATTCACATCATCACTACGGTGAAATCTCAATTTGAAATATTAATAATGGTAATTAGCAAAAAATAGATTTAACTGCTAAGGTAACACGAATTAAACTGTCATATTTCTTCTTTGCCACACATGAAAAATACAGAAAATATTTTATTCTGGAAATACTGAGAAAATATGTCATTGACTTCATTGTACTTTATGAAGAGTTCTACATGTTTCATAACTTAAAAATACTAAATTTAGTGATTTTTTTTTTTTTTTTTAATTTCACAAAGAGAACACTTGTTTTCTACTCTGGGGAGGGATACGAAAAAAAAAAAAAAGGTGGTGTATTCTCCTTTTTTATATGTACTCAACTGTGACTTCACTGCAGTGCAAAAAATTACCTTCCAATAAAGCTTTAGGTTTTCCTCTTTTTTAAATATTTAACATATTCTCACAAACCTTGTACAAATACAAATATTTAACAGCACAGATATCAGCTTATGATGGAAAACTGTTTGAAACATAACATTTTCTAGGAAGAAATACTATCTTTTTGTATGCTGTACAGGTTTTTGTTTTATATTGTCTTTAACAAACTATTAATTGCAAATACACGTAGTAGGATATCACATAGTAGATATACATAAGGCTGAAAAGTAAAGAAAATGCAAACCTGGAACCACTTGGCATGTCTCAAGGCGGCCAAGGCGTCCAGGCATTTCTGCCTGTCCAGAACATCCGGCGGGTCTTTAACAGTCTCTAGAAAACCAGATGATAGAAGACTGACATTAGCACAAAGGAGACTGAAAGGAATGGGTGTTTGACCTATGGGAGGTATGTCAATGTGCTGCCTTTTTCTAATAATAAACTACTTTCAAACTTTATACCTACTGTTCAGGAATACTAATTATAATAGCAAAAAAGTTGTAATTCTGTATTATTTATATATAAATATAAAATGAAATACATATATAGCAATTTGATTACATTTTTTAATATAACAAAACCACGTGAAATTAAAAATGACAATAACAAAACACTGGTTAAATTGAAACTTAATAAAATATGATTTCAGTATTTCATTAGAATATAGGATCTCCCCAATCCATTCACTATGCACATATGAGAAGTAGCATAACATTTTTAGAATGTAAAAAGATACATGTAAAAAATTTATTATTCATTTTGTGCTATGAGTGAGGTCATTACATATTTATTAACTTTATCCGACAAATTATATTAAATTTTTTAAATGTAGCTACAAATTATACTAAATTTTAAATGTATATAGAAGTTACATGAGTATATGCGATTAGAATCAGATATTAAAAAAAGCCTTTCTTTATCCCTCTCCTTTTTCCAGTGCTCATTTTAAAAAACACCAGCTTTATCTGGCTCCAAAGCATATATAATATTTTATGCTGTTTTATTATCTTACAAACTGTTACAAACATCCTCTTATGCTTTCCCCTAAAACAGTCATCTCATATACATGTTAAATGCATGAATATGTAAGAAGATATCTGTACACAGTCTCATTTTAATCCAGTTTTCATATTTTTTAAGAAAAAACATTATTACAAGGCCTAAGCAGCCCCGAAAAAAATCGTATATTTTGCCCCTTCTCTGCTAAAACATTTTTAAACATTTATATGAAATGGCATTTGAAGTATTTAGGCCAAAAATAAGCTTATTTAAATTTTACAATATTAAAAATCCAATTAATATATAAGAAACTTATCGGTTACAAATCGTACCTGCATTAATTTTACAAGCCATATTTTATTGATTATAACAGATGATCTATTTTTTCTGAGGTATTTTTATTTTAAAATGTTAAACATTTGTAGCCTTTAGAAGTTAGATGCAATTTATTTCATTATATTCCCTTCAGCTGTAACATCCTTAATTACATTCATATTGCAGAGCTCCCAACTTAAAATAAAAAAAGATATTTTTCTCAGGAACAAAAATAAGAGAATTTATTAAAAATAGTATGTACAGAAAATGCAGTGCTTAAACCCTTAAATGCAAACGGTACAAGAAATTTTTATGTAAACTTTTTACTTCACATACCTTTTAATAAATAAATGCATGAAAATAATAAAACTTTTAACATAATTGGTATCAAAAATAATATATTTTAATTCCTTAAAAAAGTGTTATATTTTTGTTTATCACATTTGCAACACAACCTAGCTTTTTACGAATGAAGTTTCCATCCCTCAACCACACAAAACCAAGAAATCATAATTACTATTGGTACACATTTCCCTTCATAAATTACATCATTTATGAAAATATTCCAAAAAGTTCATAAAACATTACTTATCTCAGGAAAATAAGACAAAAGATCACAATTTCTTACAACACTTAAAATTATCATTGTTTAGTAATGACAGAACACAAAGAACACTCTCGCTTTTACTTTGTACCAAATGGCTAACATGTACCGTATTGATCATTCCAAACATCTGATGCTCAACATCGAAAATGAAGCATCGTACTATCAGGCATACCAGTTCTCTCATACACAATGATAGCACACCACGATATTTAACTGATGAAACAGCCCTCCTTTTCTTTTATAAGTAACCAGGTAAGGAATAAGCACTTTCAGATAATAGAAATTACATTTTTGGATTAAGTAATGAAATACTAAGCCAAGTAACATAAAAAGAGAGATTTTAGGAATAAAAACAAATCAGGAGAAATGTATACTGGGTTGTAGGAGGGCAATCAAAAACTGCAACAGTTGGCATCTTTGAAATAAATTCAAAGAATCCAATATATTTAAATTACACTACTCAAAATAAAAGAACTCACAAAAATTGTTCTGATTTATCAGGAAGGTTTAGAATATAGATGAATCCAAATACTGAATCAGTTTAAAATGACTTACTTAATACTTTAATAACTTTATATTACAAATTTAATGCATATCTAACCTCCCATATTCACACATGCTTTTCTAGCAAGAAAACAAGAACTAAAATTAAACAATTGATAATTTTTTTTCAAATTATGCTTTTGAAACGATCAACTTCACTAAAAATGCACATCAGAATATATGAATAAATCTGCATGATGAATATAATTTTTTAAAATAAACCTATTAAAATAATATTAACATAGAACACTGATTTTTACAAATTCTTATTTTGTACAAAATATGACTTTCAAATAACAAATACATTTTAAGACATAAGACACAAACATTCTGAAATAAGGCAGCACATCATGACAACCACCCAGGGTGATCAAAAATCCTTCCAGGTCAGCCACCCACAGCATTCAACCTTCAGGATGTTGTTCCCCTAGAATGCTTCAAAGCAAAACTAAACAAAATATACATGTTACTTGACACATACTCAGTGTTTCATCATTTAAGTAAGCTAGAATGTAAACTGATTGTAAGAAAAACACGAGAACTTTAAAACCAGTGAACAAAGAATTCCTGAATGACTGAACAAATAGAACAATTTTCTGGAAACTATGTACATCTAAAGAAATGCTAACTATACAGACAATTATTAAAATATAACTGAACTAAGATTGATCAACAAATTCACTGATAAGTTATAAAATTTATAATATAAATCTTAGACTAAAAATATAAGATTTTACTTAAGTTCACCATGAAATATATAATTATCATAACACAAATCTGATATTCAGAACAGGAAAATTTACTGAAATCCACCATAAAATAAAATTAAGAGACTGTTTTATCTAAATTATTGAATCATCATTTTTTTATCAAAAAGTCTAGTTTTGGATAATTTTTAAATAATTATAAAAATGAGATTTCATTTACAGAGACAGAATGCGTTTAGCCTAGAAATAGAATCTTAACACACATGCTGCTTTGAATTAAAGTACCCTCATTCAAACCTTCCAATGGAAGACCTGACTCAAAAGTTAAAACGAGTTGCACACCCAATGTCACGAATAAAGTCTTTCAGATAACCTTTTAAAGAGTCAGAAGTATTTTTCAAAGTAAAACCAAAGCGTCGCATCTTATGGTGATATTTCACATAATATTGTATGATTATTGTCTTAAGTCTAAAAAGCTGCTAGTACAGTATAATTTCAATAATACATAAATATCTGTGATGTGTTGATTTTTAAATGCTTGATTTTCACAAAATTTAACATGGCAAATTTTTCCTGTAATCTTATTTTCTTATACGGGTATGTTTTCATACAGTTATTTATGTGTAAAATATCCAAAATACACGGTGAGAAATGTAAAACTCAAATTCCAAGGATTATACTTTACATTCTTCCCTCTGTAAAATGCTGCTTCAGTTACTGCTAATTTTGCTGGGAAATCATGGATAAAATTTGGATAATATTTTCTTATAATGTTCAGCATTATAGTAACTCCGAAATTATATAGAGAAAATATTTTTCAGAAGAGAAATGGACTAATCAGAAAACCAACGTGGATTTTAAACTTTTAAAAACAAACCTTTAAAGACTATTAGTTCTACAAGAAAACTTTAAAAGTTTTCCTGTAGAACTAGTGGTCTTTCATTGTCATTATTTGTTGCCTTGATACTGATGCAACATGCAAATTTTACTCCCATTTACTAGAGGCAATGTCATTTTATCCCTATCAATGAATATTTTTGTCTATTTTTTACAGCATGTATTCATTCCCTATGTCTGAAATGTATGCACAGCAAGTCTGACATTAGGTCCAATTGTTCTTCCATTAGAGAGCTCTGAAAAGATAATTCTACTTGAAATAGGCTATATTTTAGTTATTTCATAAAAAGGGAAGGACAGAGGCTATGACTGACACACTTGAAAATCTGATATTCGTTCTTTCATGCAGGCACACACAGGTCTTTTAACCGCATAACTTTTGTCAAATATACATGCATAATACCAGAAAGAGAATTTTGTTTAATACTATAATATCTCACACAATTTAAGACAGTGAGGGAATAGTTTTGCGAAGAAATTGTAAATATATGTTAATCTAACTTTTACTTGAATTCCAAAGAGGACATTTTTTAAGATATACCTTCACAATTGTTCAGCAGTTAATACACACAAAGAAAGAAAAAAGAAAAAAAAAAAGAAAAAAAAAAACTTCTGGTTTCAGATAAACTTAATGAGGGTGGAGGGAAAAAAATTAGCTCATGGATTACAGCAAAGCACTCTTGAGCAATCGGTTTATAAGGGGAAGCATTCAATGAAATAAACAGGCCTATATTTACGTTACACTATGGAAATCAATTTTCCCACAAAGAACTTAATTATGGTGAAACAAAAGAGCATGTTATGGCCTACCCATAATATAGCAAAGGGAAATAGAAAAGACTGAAATTTTTTCGTTCATTATTCAACAGTACAACACTATTCGTTCATTACAAGTTCTCAAACCATGTTTAAAATTTTACTGTAATTCTACTTTTTATTCAAAATATTACTTAAAGTATGTAAAAAATGTATTTAAGTATACTTAAATAACTATTGCAAATAGAAATAATAAAACAGCAATAAATATACTAATACCTTAATAGTTTGGGAAGCCATTATAAATTACTTTGAGAAAAAACCAATTTTTCCTCCCACATTTTTCTTTATAATTATAAATTATTACAAACTTTCAAAATCTTCTTAAAACACATAGTATTTCAACTAGTATAACAATGTGTACATTCTTTGCTTTTTATCAGACTACTATTTAATTTGTTATATCTAACATAATTTAAAATAAAACATTTATTGCATAGTACTTTTTCCTCTGCCAAAACAAACATCTGCATCTTGAACATTAACTTTTGTTTTAATATTTTAAATTTTTCATAAATTCTGAATATTATATGAAGCAAATTATTTATTTAATTCTTTATCCTTACTTGAAAAAATTCTTAAAAAAAAAAAAAAAAAGACTTGCAAAATAATAATAAAGTAATTAAAGCTGTTAATTACACCTACTGTGATTTTAAGATATTGTAAAAGTTAAAAGGACATAAACGAAAATTTCGGAGCAAGGCCTTCTGCAAATAAAATCTAATGCTGCTACACGAGTTTTGCTATAGCAAAATGAATCCCCGCACGAGCAAATACACGTTGCATGCAGAGAATCACATTAAATAATTTTTAAATCATATTAAAAACTTCTGGAAATGTAATATTTAGATATATTAGAAAATTAAACCATACAGCTCATGATTTAACATTCCCCTCCCAAAATAAAAGGCACAACTTTTCCTTTTATTCTGTCTGAATGTGATCCCTATTTTGTTATTTGGAAAGCTGGGTGCAAATAAGAAGCTCTGAATATTGCTACAGCAACCTGATTTACTGGCTGTATGACAGCAATTGTGTTTTGAGGAAGATACACTACCTTTATGTCTGGGTGCAGATTATTAAGATGTCAGGGATGGCATGGAGCATTTATCAAACAGTTGAATAATTTCAATATCAACTTCTATTTTCAAAAAATAACACTAGATTGGCGGAATGAAGCAGGTCAAAAATCAATTGTCAAATAAAGGTTGTGTCATTCATGCCGTTTCATATACATGATAGTAAACGGACAGACAGTTTTTACTGACGTTCTTTAACCCCTTCGAGCCAGTTAGCGCAAATGCGGGCTTATCGCGGAGGCCGGCAGTGTCTTATGCGAGCGTCTCTCCAGGGCAGGGGGCTTTTTTGCTACTAAGCCTAAATCCATGAAATTTCCGAAGTATCAACGCATTGTTTAATAATGCTCTATAGAGTATTTAAACGGCTTATGCTTTATAGATATTTTTATACTATATACTTTAATTACCTTATTTCTTGTTTAAATGCACATTTTATTTTCATTACTCACCATTTTATGACTTTTAACATTATACATTGGAAAATTAAATATGTTAAATTTCTCTTTTCGTATGAAAAATTTGAAAACAAGGGATCTACACACATACCTACGTTACATTCCTTGCACTCGTAATAATTCATTTGCTGTTTTGGAGGATTTTTCCGGTAATGTGAACAAACGAAGCATCGTCGTCTCATTTTCTTATCAGTCTCTTCTGAACAAAGTTTTGGAAAATGTCTTTCAGTTAATCTTTCAGAATCAATATCTGAAATATTTTGCATCATTTCTGCTATTTCATGCTCTGTTAAAACATTTTCGACGCTTCGACATTGCAATGGTAAAAACAGAAAGAATTCACGTCTAACAAGATCTAATTATTTTCTAAAAACTGAACTGCAAACTGAAATACCCAGCGCTTTAGTGCAAATAAAACTTCTCTACTTAAATAAACAACTACCACGTGCGAATCAAGTGCGATTTAAAGAGACGTCATAAATCACGCCATTCGGAAACATTTATTTCCCCTTTTGTTTATATAATCAAAAACACGTGTATGCGAGTCATGCTTCTCTCATTTCGAGTAGAAGGTCTAATGTACATGTATCTGAAACCATATGGACATACACTGCCATCTTGTGGCAGAAATTATAGTTTGAAAAACGTTCTAGGACACTGGCACAAACACGTGACAGTCGGTAGTGAACAGGAAAATGCTCTGGTACGCCTGCGTGTCGGCCGGGAAGTGAGTGTGTTCGTTGCTGGCACGTAGACTTTACAGTCGGCGCGAAGGGGTTAATACTTATTAGTTTTCAGATCAATAGAGAACCCAGCAGCAACCCCTCCCAACAACAACAGCATCATGCTAACAGCCTGAAAAGTGGGAATTGCCTTAGCTTCACTGTGTACGTTGGACCTCTCAGTCATTTCCCCTTGCCAAAGACCAATCTCATCCACATTGAATATCTTTCCAGGAAGTAACTTCCTTTTTAAATTGTTCCATGCAATTCTTCCAACAAAATTTTCGGCTGCTTCTACATCTTCGCTTGCCACCTCACTGCTGATTCTCCAATTATACAGATTAGATCTCCACCTACAGCACTGAAACCAACCACAGCTTGCTGTAAATGATTCTGTTGATTTTTTGCCCTCAAAGATACTGCATGCTTCAGTTTAAATTATTAAAAGGCTTATTATTTTGCAGCTGATTGTCAAACCAGATTACCATTAATTTCTCCACCTCGTCAGTTAGATCTTTTTGCTACCTAGTTAACCATGGCTTTAAATCCTATCGATTTCACCACCTTTCTCGCTGTAACTTTATCCTTTAAAATTGTTACAATTTTCAGGTGTTCCAACTTAGCGTGATATTATTATGTTATTGCCTTAAAAGTTCTGCCATCTTGTATAATTTTATTTTTCAGTTCAATAGCATTCCATCATTTCTTAATAATTTCTCCAGATGACGCCATACTTCTTTTTGATGACACCCATATTATTTTGGGATAATAAATATGTAAAATATAACGAACTCGCAGTGACTGATTGTTGGAATGGATTTGACTGAAAAGTGCATAGCAAGGCTACGCTCAACGTGCCCATCACCATTTGCCACAGAATGGTACACATGCTGAAACAGGGGATTCCCTGAACTGCAAGTCGAAACTCAATTGGTAGTTAAGCAGATAGGTAATAAAAGTGATGAGTACCTGCGCGTGTGTGTGTGTGTATACATATACACATATGGTCTAAAATATTTTCTGTAAAAGATTTAAATACGTTTGTACCCGTGTGTGTGTGTACATATACACATATGGTCTAAAATATTTTCTGTAAAAGGTTTAAATAAGTATATATACATGCACCTCGAAGTCCCCAGAAATTAAAACACTACTTAAAAAGAAAATGATTCCATGTATCAAATACCAGAAGCATTTTGGTATTTTAATCAAGAAAATATCTCATTCTTTTGCTGGTTTGGAGAAATTTTGGGTTTCAAAGTCGAATTGTTGGCCAATTGATGGGTTAAAGCTGAACCACATAAAATGCAAATTAAGTAATTGTTTTGGTCACATTATTTCTGTTGTACATTGATCCCAAGAAAATCAAGGATGTTTATAACTGCGGTCGCCTGCAAAAAATTTATTAGGAAGTTTTTTGATTCCCTGCACTTACTATCAAAGATTTGTTACAGGCAAGATCATAAAGCCTTTATATCAACCAATTGAATGAAAAAAAAGGTTTCATGTAGTGATAGCTTTGAAAAAGCATTTGACATCTGTTCCCATAGCTTACCCTCAACTCGAATATGACTTTTTTCTTTATACAGATGTTTGTAATGAAGAAACTGAAGCTGCTGTTTCACAATAAATTGACGACCAGGCACATGTGATTGCATATTCCCCAATTTGAAGAACATCCATTCATATTAAGAACAAATTTTACACCTACCATGGACTGTGTATGAATATCTTGGGACCAAAAACAAATGCATTAAGAATGCTGTTCATTATAACCCTGGACTTTCTACATTACAAATTACTACTAGCTATGATCTTTGCCCCATAACGTGCTTTTCGGACAACTACAGGATGTCTTTTCTGCCTGAGCAGTAACTCACAGATCTCCAGACATTTTTTAGAATATATTTATCAATTCACCAGGGAAAGAACCAATACAGTAATCAAGATAATGAAGACGTGTATGCCAAGCTGACAGAGAGGGAATCCAAGCATCGAGATGGAGCCCGATTGTGAAATCCCAAGCTGCAGACTTCCTGGAAGCTACTTAATGTCATCAAGACGGTTAATGACAGTGGTGTATATGTAAAGAGCTTGTTTTTCTGCAGTAATGTACTACAACAGACTTGCACCTTACAATGCTAATTTGACTTAATCATACCTGTCTTAGGGATTGTGCTATTCACGACATGCAGCCTTTAAGGAGGGTGCGATATAGTATAAATTTCTGCAAATAGTTGAGTCCATTTTACTTTTTCCCTCACCACAATACAATTATTCGCTGCATTTCGTACACATATGCGTAAAGAAATGTAAATCTTTTTAATTCAATATTTACATTACAAAAATAGCTCAAGAAAAATTGTTACATGTAAGCACCATAGACAAGAAGCGGACTATTATGTTTAGGGAAAAGAAAACTGAAATATTTGTCAGTCATTCAAGAAAAAATGTTGGAAAATAATTTTTTAGTTACCTACAGTTTATTAATATAAAAATAAATTTACATAAAACTTCGAGAATTACTTTATAAATAGGATTTGTAAGATGAAACTTAGAGATTCCTACTACAGTTAAAGGGGAAAAAAAAACACTACTCCCAAAACACTAAGCATATCCGTAAAGCCTACCTCCACTAGTACTAGCATCAGCATTGGATTCACGCATGACAGGAGAAGTCAGAGTAACTGTTACTGTAATCTTTGGTTCAGTCACAGAACTGACTACTATGGCTGCTTCCTCTAGACTTCTTTTAACTTCATACTTGTCATCTGGAGCAACGGTCTGAAAAACATGGGCATAATATAGCGTTGAAAACAAGCCAAACTTAAAACAATTGTAAATATCCAATTCATATGAAAAAAATAATAAATACATATTTTGATTACTTAAAAATTATTTTTACTCCTTGCTAGCCTTGAAATCTTAAAAACAAGAGATTTTTGCAAGCAAGCAAAGAGAAACTGAGAAGTTTTCAAGTTGGGTAGTGACACCATTTCTAAGAAACTCCAAATTGACAAAAAATTATTTCCTTTTATAATACATGGTTCAAGTTACTGTATAATTTCTAGTTCATTTCTGATGGAAAATATATTAGCATTTAATTGACTATTCTAAAATTTACGTTCTAATGCTAATTTTTTTTTTTTTTTTTTTTTTAATTTTCTTACACTTTTATCCCAAGAAAATCCTGAATACTGAAGTAAAGCTTTTATTTACCAAAGGACTTTTAATATGATGCAAATAAAATTATAATTAATGTACAAAGTATTAGTGTAGATAAACTTAGTTATGTACCATATACTGAAGTAAAATACAAATAGTCTATGCTTGAATCTGCATATAAAAATCTATAAATGTCTAACAGTAGATTAAGACAACTTAGATCAAATAAAACTTAATACGACAAGCATCTATAGTATGCAAAACGGAAATAATACAATTCAGATGAATTATAATGAAGATTATTAGAGGTGAGGGACTGGAATTTTCCTAATTCAATCAATTTCACTTACTGCTGGGAAACATTTTCCTTGGTAAAGGCTAAAAATTAAAAACCGGGGGATTTGGTGATCTACCAGGAGATGTAAAACTGGGAGAGTTGGCAGCTTAATTTCTAAAGTTAGCATTCTTGTACTTAACTTATACCTATAAATCATGCAACTTTCCAATGGCATACTTGCCAACCTATGACACTCAAAAATCAGGAGGTTTTTCACAATGTTAAAAAGACTTTTTAAATGATAAAAATATAGTTTTTAATAATTGAATTAACTTTAAAGTAGTTATTATTAATTCTTAAACTGCAAGCAACACAAAAAATACCTTAGACATAAAAACATTTTTATTACTTGCATCATTTCAAAAAACAAATTTAAAAAAAAAAAAAAAAAAAAAGGCACACTTTAATCAGTTTTTGTAAACAATGTTATGAACAGTGGCAGATTTTGCTTAAGATAAGAAAGAAACTTCATAATTTTGTTCATAGCAATTGAAACGCAGGCCTGCTTTCACTAATAAAAGTTTTTCTAATGTGTCATCCCTAATATTAGATCTAAATTTAGTCCTCGTTTTCACAACACTGAAAATCCTCTCACATTCCGCATTACTATGGGGAACTGTCAAGATGGCCAACATGAATCTAGACAGTTCACTATATTTTAAAATTCCATTAGTACCTTTCAGTTTTCCAATTAAACTCCATTGGGTGTCAATCGTAGCTGATTTTAAACCTTCATCCAAGTTTTCTAATTGTAAACTGCAAAAATGCGACTGTAGTATATATAAGTAGCAACATCAATAACATCATCTTTCATGACTAAATGAAGTAACACAGGAAATCTGTTCAAAAAGTACCTTATATCAGAAAAAGATGCATTTGCTAGAGCAGAAACATCAGCAACTTTAGCATGCAAAATCACTTCATCGTTGACTGGAAATTTATGTAGTATGTAATCACATACTCGACAGAAGTAACTTCTAACATGAAGATAAAACTTATTTTTGTCTTCTGAAAATTCTTCCACTACTTTTGTAGTTGCAGCTCCTATTACCAAATCTTCATCTTTGTTCTGATTTTCTATTTCACCATAAATCACATCATATATAAAATTACAAGACAAAACACCAACTGGTTTTACAAACTTTGATAAAATGTCTTAAACAGATCACAAATCATTGATTGCAAAACATGAATTAAAGGAATTTTGCTTTGTAGAATTGTGTTAAGAACATCGAATGATGGCAAAATTATTGTAAAAAAAAAAAGCAAAAAGCTTTTGTTAAGGTCCGAAGAAAAAAACATAAATATTCGCTCTTCACATGATAAAGTAATCGGAAAATGTTTTGTGTGTTGAGAATTTTTTTTATTTTGAGAGAAATTTGTATCAGCTTTACGCTTATATTTTGCAGTATTATTTTGAGAACTGCCAGTTGTATTGCTGAATGATGCAGAAATTACTTTAGGTATTTTATAACTTTCAATAGAGCCTTATCTTAACTCTCGAAGCATTTTTTCTTCTTTAAAAAATGCAAGAAGTGGGTTCCATTGATTGAGGATTCTAGATAAGCATTTCTTTAAAGACAGCCAGCATGTACACACGTTTCAAAATTTTTCTCATTTCAGTATTATGCAGATGTTGGAACTGTTTCAATTTTTCCTTTCTTTTAGAACTCCTTTCAAGATAATAAACATCAACAATGTGTTCATCCACCTTTATTGGTAAGAAGCTGCCCCTTTTTCAGCTGCTAAATTTAAGAGGTGACGGGTGCACCTCATAATCTGCAAATCTGAATTTGCCTTTCTTAAGACGCCTGCAAAACCAGTTTTCAAGCCTACCATTACTGGTGCATTATCGGCACCAAGTGTTAAGCAATTATCCAGAAGGACTGCATTTTCTTTTAAAGTTTTAATAATTAGCTGTGCTATATTAAAGCCTGTCTTCTAAAGCGGGAACAGAAAGTAAACTGCACTCAATTTCTGAAGACTCTGGATTAAAAAAAGAAACAACAATCGGATACAGTTTTGAATCAGTATTATTGCTTCCATCTGTACAGAGGCAGAACGGAGCTGTTTTAATGCAATCAATAACTGAAGATTTATTTTTCAAACCCATTTCTTTAACAACTGCATCTGTTTTGGTCCTTGCACTAGAGTATTTCTTAGCGATTTCACTATCGAAAAACATTTTTCTAAATAAAGCTGCAGCGTGATCCGGTGCATTCAGTGGCAGGTTGTGCTCCAGTAAAAAGGCAGACAACAGACATTCTGCATTAATCACTTTTTGGTCTTTTGTTTACAAAGAAAAATTTAATTTTTCGTTTTTTTTTCCAAAACAACTAATGTTGTCCTTGTGTTTTTGTGTACACACATGTTTGAGAACATCCGCCCTTTCTACTATGCGAAATCGAAAAATCGCAACGACAGATGGTACACATTCCAAATTTATTACATTTCCTTGAGGAAATAATGGAAGGAAAGTCAGCTGTGTACGATTTTTGAAACGTGCACGAGTATTTCACATTTTTCGCAGACAAATCAAAAGATGACAATTTCTAAAACTATTTCCCGAAGGCCCGTGTACTCACACAACTCAGGACAAGATGAACGAAATAACGAAAGAACATCGAAATAACGGCCCAACGGCCAAAGAATTTTCTTTGCAATGGCCTTGAGCTTGCTTTCTGCTCATTGGCTAATATATGGCAGATGACACGCAGTGGAGCTTGATGCCCATTGGAGAACTGGAGAACGACGTTTCTGGATACGTATGCTGTCACTCACAAGGCAGAAATTCTCATCTGATTCGCAAAGTTTTGCTTCAGATATAATCTAGAGAAAATTCAGTTGCTTTCAGATGTTCAAAATCACTTTTTTTGTTTGTTCAAATAACGAAGTATTAAGCCAAGTTCCATAAAAACCATGAGAAATATTACGAATAAGGAAAAGTCAGGAGAAATATATTGTAAATCGGGTTGGCGGGAGAGCAGTCGAAAATCGGGAGAGTTCACAACTCTGCAATAGAATACAGTAAAGTGCACATCTGATAATCCGGCATCTTATGTATGGGCACATCTGATAATCTTGAGCCATTTTCACCAAAATTTCGACCCTATGATCACATTGCTAACATTTTATTTAGCAATATTCTGAAAGGCTTAATTTACATTGCATCTTTTTGCCATTTGCAGTCTATCCGATGTTTTAAACTTCACAAAAATGTTTATCAGAAATGAATGGGATGATTTAAAAGCAAAAACTAATTAAATATAATTAACAATGAATAAATTTTTTTACTAATAAGCTTGGCCTATGATCTACGTTTTAAGAATTATCACATGAAGTTTTTCCATTCTTCAATAGATTCAACAGATTAAAACAAAAGGTTTGAGGAACTGTACAATGCGATATCGTGGTTTTGTTAAATTCCTGAATGTGCAGGATTATTGAACTTTTAATTATAGTCTCACTATAGCATATATATATAAAATAAGCCATACGGCAGTAAGAACGCTTTCAAAGTAACAGCAATCATCAACTACATTTTTCAAAATTCATTTATAACACTTTAGACTACAAGGGAGAGAAAAAAAAATCGTAAAGAAACAAGATTTTAGGGGTTTCTATCTTGCCAGGTCAATTTTAGTCTACTCTAATAAACAGGAAATAGTTTAAGAAGTGAAAGCAATGTTTAAAAATGTTCTCAAAGATACATAAACTTTGTTCCTTTCTTGTTATAAAATGGTTATGATTTAATGCTTGTTGTGTAAATATGCCTTCTAACACTTAAACAAAACACCATTCGAATAGTTTTCAAAAATTTGTAATTTTTTTATTTCAAATCTAAATTTTTAAAATTATTGAAAAAATTAAAAGCAATCCATATAAATATAGTACTGATATAAAACATCTCATTAAGAATGAATCTTAATATATAATTAAAAAATTACTTACATGCAAAAATTTTAATAACATTAAAAACTTAAAAATCATGAATACAACATTCAACTCACTGCAAGTTGCTTGGGCAAATTGTCAATAACTCTTTCTAATAATGTACGCGTAGGCTTTTCAGCACACATGACTACAAGCTGCACACTAAGATCACCAGTAAGTACTAGTCCTTTGGCAAGCACTCCAACACGCATTACTCCCTTCAATACTCTATATGGCTGGGCACTGTCTTTATTACCTCTATTAAAAAACAAAAATTAACACATTATAAACAGAATTTACTTACTAGACTAGCCTGAACATAAGAAAGCCTGAATTCTTAAGGTATTTTACATGATAAAAATCATCTATCTGCATATAACAACATTTCATGTCTGAACTTTATATGTTCAAAATGGTCTACAATTAAGAAAAAATTTTAATAAACTAAGTAAAGAGGTTTCTTTAAATTTGAAAGTACATCAATAACAACAAACATCATATAAAAACATCAATCAGATGGATTCGAGTGTTAAAATTGTATATTTTTGTTGAAAAACGATACCCGAAATTTTTTACAATTACAATACTACCTTTACCTTGTACAAGAAAGTAAAAAGGATACCGCATTTCTCATTTTCAGCTTTGTGAGCACAAAATATATGCAACCCTAGCAAGTACTCATTATCATTACATATAACAGAACTAATTTAATGTACACAACTATAGGCATTTAAATTACTTACTCTGCTGGCTTAACATCCTTTTTATCTTCAGGGTTTCCTTTCGGCACATCTCTAAATTAAAAATAAACAAATTAACAACATAACATATAAAAATATTTTACAATTGTATACACAATTAATATAAAATAAAATATTTAAAATAATTAAGCTACAAAAGCATGCATACTTTTTTTCACTCTTTTCGGTTAAATAATCTGACACCAACTTTAAAGCTTTTTCTGAATTAGTAATTATTTTCTGCACAGCATTCAACTCCTCCTCTTTTGGATAAATTTGAGTATGCTTTGCTATCACATGGCGATCATCAACCGAATCTGGTCTTCTAATCTACAAAAATGAATATAATCAAATTATTAGGCAATTAGTATCTTAAATATTGAAATATATAATAAAACTAATTCTTTTTATAACATTCACAATTTTATTGCATAATATGCTAAAAAAGGCTGCACCCATAAGGAAAAAGGAGCCTTTACCATTTTTTAGCAAGATGGAAAAACACAGATGCGTTATAACATTTCAGATAGCAAATTACTATTTATGTTATTACCAGTCATCTTAGCTCCAAGATATAAAGATAAGATATAAAAGTATCAGAATTTCACCATAGGTTGTAAAAATAAAGCCCCACTGTAGTATTTGTGCAAGTCTGCCCCAATTTTGAGGCAGACCTTGGATGAGGTCTAAAGGTATTCCCCACCTCTTCCTCTCTCATTTTAAAGGACTTTCAGCTTGCCAATATTTTGAGCGCCACACAGATACTCTGCACCTTAAAACACATATGCCTTCTCTGAAATTCAAACTCCAATTAAAAGTTCAGCAGTCACCATTGTATAGCCAACTACACAAATCGAAAATAAATGTCTTTGAGATGACATATAACAAAAAGTTAATCCTCGAAGACTTCTAAAAATATATTTCTCTATTGCTTAGTTTAAAATGACAAAGGCAAACAGCAAGTTACTTAACAGATTATAAATTCAGCCTGGAGTAAGCTATGGCAGATCATACTGCAGGCAGAAACTGAAGGCCTTTTTCTTGGGGGGGGGGGCACTTAATGACATCTGTACCTCTTGACAGAATCAGACGTGGAAGTTAACAATGGAAGACTTGGAAGCACTACAGAATTGCAGAAGAGAGTTCTCCACGGAAGAGCATGAATAACTTCGGGTGCACCAATAAAAGGCAAAAAACGAGGAGGAAATATCTTTAGGAGAAAAGGAAGTAAGCCTAGTTGTTTGATATGTAAAATTTACACCGAAGTACAGCGTACAGTACAATGAACCCCAATAAAGCACTGCAGGCATTGCATAAGCATTTTCGGTACTTTTCCGTTTCGCCGGCGCAAATCTCGCCAAGCAGACTTTATTGGCGACAACATACAGTATACACATAAAAAATATTTAAAAAATGTTAGTTTTAAAAGAATTCTTTTTTGAAGGCATAAACATTTTAATATCGCTTAAAATTTTAATAAAAAACCAATAAATAAAGACAATAAATTTGTAAAAAAAACATTAATTTAAGAATTTACTATGCTTTCATGGTTCACCATCCTGATTCGCCGGTTCATATCACGTGACCCCAAGCGATCTCATCTCACGTAAACTACTCTACAAAATTCTAATGCTCTCAGTAATTATCTACATTAATTTCAAGTTAAATCTTAATTTGGAACACAAGTTTAAATGCAAGAAATATTTCAATTCGTACGAATAGCTTACTCAGAAATTATGTAAAACTGCAGTGCTTTACTTCGCTAATGCATTCTCATTAGAATTGAATTTAACCCTTGACTTTACCTTTTCTATATTTTCGGCTTCAGGTAAGCACTGTGATTGCATTCTAATTGACTTAATTACCGAAAATGGCCTTAGACATAAAGCTGAACTATCTGATAAAAATTCTATGCAATTATATGCCAGTATTGAAAAAAACAATCAATCTGATAAGAAAAAGCTGCGACTTGTTTTGAAAATGAGGCGTAAAAGGTTACCAGCGAGAATATTCCGTTTGGCATCGGTTGTACCATTATTGGCAACTTTATCGCTTGCGTCGGCAAAACGGAAAAGTACCGCATTTTCTACTTGAATACCATTTCTTCTTTACAAATGTGTAAAAAGTATCAAAAATACGGTTTTTTTAAGGAAATCCGGTGATCCTTAAGAAAGCCAGTTACCTGATTTTCTACGGAAGGCAATTCCACCATCCAAACTGTCTTCCTGTTTTCTGTCTCATCACCTTCAATTTATGTTATCAACTGCACTTTGTACAGAAAAAATTTTCATCCAACTTGTTTGTTTCGTACCATGTTTATTAGCCCAAGAGGCACTGACCCACAAGAGCTATTAATCTCGAAATGGCATTTTGCGCAAATCACCAAAACATTTTCAAATTATTGCCACCAAATTATTATTGCACTGTAATACATTTGAAGAAATTGTATAGTGAATAATCTGCATGAATGTATGTATATTTCTCGCATTGTGAAAAAACAATGGTACCCAGAGCCATCTAATTTTAAATAATGCAGTCCTCCACCTGAATCTGGGCACCCTGAAGCCCAAATTTTTCATTCGTTTTATTACCTATTTCATATTTTATTAAACTCTAAATGAATTTTTGAATGATTTAAAAGCAAGCAGTGGCAACACTGTGTGAAACGAAATATTTTTACCTCCAGCGCTCAAGACTGTCTATCAGAAATTCTAAAGATATGCTGTTTTTAAATAGCCCAAAGGCTCTTAAAATGTGTATGTAAATGAAAATGGTTTCATTTTACAAACACTGAATGACAACAGCTTTCATGAACAAATTACATTTATGAACTGAGATTAAACTGCATTTGGATAAGGCAAAGCACATGAAATAAGGAAGATTAAGGATGCATGACATCATTGCAAGCATGTGTAAGTAATTTGAAATGAACACAATTAAAAACAAATTGCTGCAAAATAAGTATAACTTCGCATTAATGAAGATATGACATCCCGAATTCTTTAATCATCAAGGCATGTAATATGACATTAAAAACTATAAAAAAGGGTGCACATTTAATAAGGAACTCATCTAACCATAACTACTCATGTTAACTACGGTAAACCACACACACAAAAGAAAATTCAACAATTGTTAAATCATGGAGATGAGTAATAATACCTTTCATATTAAGAGCAGAAATTATTAATACCTAAAATACCCCCGCCTCCTCGGAGAGAAAAATTACACAGCTTTTGCTCATTATTTTGAGGTATGGTTGAAAGAAAAATTTCGCTCTCAATATCTTACTCTGCCACATCTGGCAGTAAATAAACTGAAAATGCACTCACTTTCAATTTATCCCGCTATGGTGTAATCTACCTTCATCTGTGACTTTGTAATATCCTTTGAAACTGTTTTACATTACGTAAATATTTCAAAGTTACTTCATGAGTCATCATTATGTGAGAAAATTTCCTCTCACATTACACAGCAATACATTTCCTACAGTTTATCTTTTATATACTTGGACATAACAATATCATAAAGAATGATCTAATCAAAGGAGTGATATATATATATCTATATATATAAAAAAATGTAGTAAGCTCACCTAAAAGTTACCAAGAGCTGCTGCTCCAAAAAGTTCAACACGTTACAAAAAATTAATACATATGAAAATCAAACATTAAACATGTAAAACATTAAAAAACAGAATCAGATAAAAAGGTAAGCGGAAAATGGTAAATTAGCCCAACTCGACTTCCAAACTGGCTTTTCAAGGGAAATTTAATTTATTTGAACGTCGAATCAAGCTAACCCCATTACGCGTTTCGCCGAAACAGACAATTGATACTTTTACGCTACAAATTTTTTTTTTTTTTTTTTTTAAATTTAGACAAAGTGTCTTGGAAATTTTAATAGTCTCAATTCTGTGTTCCAATTTCCCGACGCGTCCGCACAAAATGACACATTAAGGTGTTAAATATGTTAAACTATACCTAAACTCTTAAATCTAGACTAAAATCAAAATTAAAATAAAAATAAAAACGAAAATAAGTAGCGGTCAGCTATTAGTCCTAAATATGCAAAAAACATACGGGCTGGGCCTGTAAGCTTAGCAAGCAATTTAATTTTTTATATATTTTAGAAATCTGTAATGAAAAACTGTAATTAAATAAAATAAAAGAAAAGAAAATTAAGATGATAACAAACTAAGTGGGTCTTGCTAGGACCAAGAAAAAAGTTGTAACAAAAGAAACAAAAAACTGACCTGTGGCGATGCAAAGCTCTCCCTCTTAAAACTAGTTGAAAAGTGCTTGCAATTCCCTTCTGTGTACTTCATCCAAATGACGTACGTAGGGGGAAGCGAAGTTCTGTGGGCATTAGCCAATATGAAGAGATTTCCGTTAGGTCAACTAGTTATCAACCACCATGTTATACAAGATAATAGCAAATGTAACTGCCAATTGACTGTCTACAAAAAATATGTCGATCCTTTCCACCAACATATTATTATTACAGGATATCTTAATATTGTTGAAGATGTTGAATTACATAACCTTTTGCAACTGGCACCAAATTTCGTCCTACTTTTGGTATTAATAGACACGTCTGCCTCAAACAATTCAATAATGATTTTGATAAATTTATTATTTTAGCTAGTAATAGATCCAATTTACCAACTACAACTTTTCTTGAATGGAAAGTTGCACTTATTAAAGAATTTCAACTTTTGCTGTTCAAGGCACCTTGTTTCAACTCTTGACACAATAAAAAACGCCTGAAGGATCTAATTCAAATATTGCAAAATCACTTTATCATCACAAAGATTGACAAAGCAAGCAACAACTTTAGTATTATTTGAGAAAAATTCTACTACAACCTTCTGCATAAAGAGTTAAATAACACCTGCACTTACCAAAAAATCACTACCAGTGCTCAGATTCTTCTCAATAAATTTAAAGCACTCCATAAAAGACTAAAAATACAACCCCAGAAATATAACAACAGGTTTGCCAATCTCTATGCCTTACCTAAATTTCATAAGTCTCCAATAAAATTCAGGTTCATAGCGAATAGTACCAAAAGTTATCTCAAAGAAATAGATTATCTCTTTGCACAAAAACTTCGTATGATACGTGACCTAATCAATAACTTTGATTTTGAGGGTTTGCATTGCAACTGGATGATCTCTAGTAACGAACTAGTTCTTAAAACTATGAATTCACTTAAAATAGACCATATCCAATGCTACGACTTTGAAAACCTTTATACATCTCATCGAATGCAGCCTAAACACGCATCAGCGAGGAACCTGGGAGAAGGACAATTGGGTGGAACTATTGATAAGTCGTTAACGGTTGGAGTTACTGATCTACGATTGGCTAATTCTTCAAAACTAGGAACGCACTCAACACGTGATATATGATAACACGAGTATTCAGCCAATCATCGGATGAATTAGTTGGTTCCGTTTTGCGTACTGGTTCTCCTGCTCTTGTTTCTGTAAAATCCGTAGTTTTTCATGAATTTCCGTAGAAACTACGGAGAATCTGTAGTAGTTGGAGTCTATGTAATTTACCATTTTCCGCTTACCTTTTTATCCGATTCTGTTTTTTTAATGTTTTACATGTTTAATGGTTTGATTTTCAAATGTATTAATTTTTTATAACGTGTTGAACTTTTTGGAGCAGCAGCTCTTGGTAACTTTTAGGCGAGCTTACTACATTTTTTTATATTTTACTTATTTTGCAGCATATTGCACAAGATGTTTTCTAGACCAAAATTAGTTTTTCAAAATTGTAATTACTACCTTGCTTGATATATCTATATCTATATCTATATATATATATGAATTATATTCTCAACAGAAATTAGTTTGAGAACTACACATTTTTAGATAATAATATTTACAAGTTTTAATCACTGTTCAGAAATCTGGGTATATAAAATAATGGTGAATTAATAAACATCAGCTAATACATTTTAGACCACAAGACCAGTGACATAATTTCATCAGGATAAAAATTTGCCACAGTCAATTAACACTGTTATATAACCATGATTATAAAACTATCACTAAGTTTTAATCATAAAGATAAATAACATATGGTATAAATACTTGTATTAGAAATTAGTGCTCATAAAATTGGGAATATTTAGTGAACAATGGTTATAACTAAAGGTCAACTAATAAATTTTAGACCTAGAAGTTTTTTAGCTAACAATGGTTATAAGTTTTACTCAGTTTTTAGAAATACGGATATGGCAAATCATAAATCATCAATTCATACATTTTAGATTCTCAAGAACAGCAATATTCCATAGTTTAATAAAGTGGATGGACAAAAATATGGAAACACCTTGTGAAATGCATGTTTGAAAAGAAAGATTGATTTTAATGAAATATGCATGTGGCGCTGGCATTTTTGACTACTGACGCCACCTATACAACTTCGTAAATGTGCTAAACAGTTCAGTTGTTGTCGGAGTACTGTTATATGAGGTTGTTATTGCATTATGTCAGAGTTAACAGACTTCGAACGTGGGCAAACTGTTGGAGCACGTATGGTAGGTGCTTCCGTAAGCAAGGTAGCTGAGGTGTTTAGTGTTTCAAGAGGTACTGTATCGAAGATTTATTCCGCATATTTAAAAAGCGGAAAAACATCATCTGCTAAATCACAGCGCGGATGAAAGTGTGTCCTGAGTGATCATGACAGACGATCATTAAGGGCAATTGTGACAAAGACCACAGCTGCAAAAGTTACTGCTGAAATGAATGTTGTGTTACCGAACCCTGTGAGTACCAAAACAATTAGAAGGGAGCTTCATAAACAGGGAATTGCTGGCCATGCTGCAATTGAGAAGCCACTCATCAGTGATGCTAATGCCCGTAACAGGAAAAGGTGGTGTTTAAGTCATAAAGCCTGGACCATAGAGCAGTGGAAGCGAGTAATATGGTCTGACGAGTCTTCTTTCACATTGTTTCCCACTTCTGGCCGAGTTTACGTCTGGAGAACGCCATCTCAAGCCTATAATACAGACTGCTTGTAGCCAAGAGCGAAACATGGTGGGGTTCTGTTATGGTTTGGGCAGCCATATCGTGGTTCGCTGCTAGCCCCATGATAACTGTGTCAGGGCATATGACTGCCAAGACTTATGTGAACATTTTGGCCGATCAAGTTCATCCCATGGTACAAACTTTGTTCCTCAATAGTGATGGTGTCTTCCAGCTCACATTATCCAGGACTGGTTTTCTGAGCACGAGGATGAGTTGTCTTATCTCCCCTGGCCACCACAGTCACCAGACCTGAATATTATCAAACCTTTGTGGTCTACATTGGAACGGAAAGTGCATTCTCGTTATCCACCGCCAACATTGTTATCTGAACTTGCCACCGTTTTGCAGGAAGAATGGTACAATATTCTCTTGGCAAACATACAGGAACTGTATTTATCCATTCCGAGAAGACTGCAAGCTGTTTTGGATGCTAACGGGTTTCCTACACCATATTAAGCAAAGAAACACGTTTTTTTAAAGGTGTTTCCATATTTTTGTCCAACCCCTGTAATATTAATATACTCATTCATCTTTCATATACTTGGATATAAAAATATCACAAAGAATCAGCAAGAAGGTTTTAATCATCAAGATGAATAATAAATGATATAAATGCTTCTTGTATTACAAATCACTGTGATTTAAAATAGGAGCTTTTAGGAAACAATAGGTACAAGTTTTACTCATTTAATCAGAAGTATGGATATGGTAAATCATGAAGCATCAAATAATACATTTTAGATTACCAAGATTTGTAATCTGCCATAATTTAATAAATAATATTTATACACTCTATTCATCTTTCATATACTTAGATATAAAAAATATCACAAAGAATCAGTATGCAGGTTTTAATCATTAAGAAGAATACTATACGGTAAATACATTTGTATTAGAAATCAATGCAATTAAAACTAGGAGCTTTTAACAAATAATGGTTGTACTCATGTTTCAGAAGTTTAGATATGGCAAATCATAGAGAATCAAATAATACACTTTAGAACCCCAAGATCAGTGATACATTTCATTGAGATAAAAATCTGCCATTTGTCAATAAACAGTAATGTTTATAAATTCTTTATTCATATAAAAGGGATTTACAGATTTTCAGCATGCATTTTAAACCATTGTGACAAATAATATGACCTATACATGTGTAAATTTAAATATTAATGTGATTAAGAATTAGAAAATTTTAGGGAATAATGGCTGCAAGTTCTCTTCCACGTTTTGGAAAATACAATAATAAAATGAATTTTTAAATCATAACAATGAGACATAATACTTGACAGAGATTGAAAGGCATGATGAATAGACATACACTTACAGCTGGTGGTCCTATACCAACAGGAGGCATTCCCATTAAGTATGGTCTAGGTGGAGGAGGTGGTGGCATTGGAGGACCAATGCGCGGCTCACGACCAAATCGACGGTGCCATTCATAGTATTCCAATTCGTCCTCATAACGTCTGCGCTCTTCCCAGTATATTCTTTCCTCTTCTTCCATAAGCCTACAGCAAATATATTACATCATATGAAAAATGGCATATACACACTCAAACACATATTCATCAGAAACAAACACGACTGAAAACTAAGAACTAAAACATAAGGGGAGATTATGATTATTAAACAATATTCCCCGACGGCCATTCTTTCCTCTGTACTTTTTTTAAAATTACAAATAAAATGGTATTTCAAGATGAATTTATATGAAACTACCCCTGTTTTTTCTTACAAGTAAATCCCATGTAAAAATTCACTCTAAAACCTTCATAAGTTTTAAAAAAAAACTTAAGATTTTGCCATTTTTTGCATTTCAATGAGTGATTGCAACTCGAAAAATTAAACTTTGGTGGGCCATAACATCTTTCTTCAATTTTATCTCTTATCAGAGCAGTAACAGCAATTTATTAATTTCCACTCTTATACTGCTTGTCTGATGGACTTGTTTGTCAAAGGACTTGAATTTTTTTATATGAAAAGTTTGAATCCTTGAATTTAATCTGCTGAATGATTTTAATATAATAATAGTCATAAACTTTCGAAGGATTTTATTTTTCAACTGAGGTTTCATAAAAATGTGATTTTACAGCTTGCATATATGATTTTTTCTGAACTAGCCAATTAGAATTTCAAGAAACTATAACTGTGCAAACACTATTATCTGTATAAAATTAATATTTATTGTACATAAGAATTTTTAGAACTATAATTAAATTTGAAATCATACAAAAATTTTGATTCCTCACTTTTTACTGTCTTTGCTGTTTGACTACATAATTATAAATACTTACAAACTTAAAAATACATTTTTACATTTCTTTATTGAAATAATGCACATTAACAGCATTGCAGGTTAATTATATCTATCTATCTATAAAGATTTCTCAAAAATATAACTTTCCAGTTTTGCAGATTATTGTCCAAAAAAAACCACAAGTCAGAATTACAAGAAATTTTGAATTTACAAGGTTCTGAATTAAATTTATAATTTAAGTTTAATTTTATGCCCAAAAATATCTGATTTTAATTCCGCATCACTTTTTAAATTTGGCAAGGGGGGAATTTTTTTTTAAAGTTCTGCACTGACACATATCAATTTTAAAGCAAAGTTATTTTATTTAAAATAGTTTAAAATTTACAACAAAAAGTAAACATAGCAAATACAATAGTAAAGGTACTGAAATGAAATATATAAATTTTCACAATAATAACTGGTTAGTTACAAAGATTTTGAGGTTTTAAAACATACTACACAGTTTGCAAATTTTAAGCAATGCAATAAAATTACATTTTAGGCATTAAACACAACTTTTATGGAATTGTAAAGATGGTAGTATGTTTTTATAGAAGACAGACTAAAGTGATAATGCTCGTTTCACATACATTCAATACAAAGCTAATTCAAAACACTTAATAACTAATCTCTTTTTTCAAAATTTTTATGCTATTTTAGTAATTTCGTCACAGTATTTCATTTATTGCTGCTTAATTCACTTCAGCATTAAAATCTCAATGTGCACTTTTTGTTTATTGCCTTATTTATCATTTGCCCTTTTTTCTGCTATTGTAAGTTACAAAATGCATCTTAAATAAAGCTGCACAGAACTGTAGATTGATTTACTTTTAGTTATTTATACCTTTTAAAAGATTTTTTTCCCTATAATAATTTTATTACGTATGGTATTTGGTAAATGTATTATACCACCTCTGCATTTCCAATTTAAAGCAATTTTAAGATAGCCGAGTAGGAAAGAAAAAAAAAATTCAAAGTAAAAATATTTCAATTATATCTCTTCCCAGAATTTCATACTGCACCAACCTCATTTCCTCTCTCCAACGTTCTTCTTCACGCCTCTTCCAATAATCATCTAGCATTTGTTGACGTCTTAAACGTTCTTCTTGTATTTTACGATGACGTAAACTAGGTTTAATATCAACTACAAGGTCTGGATTAACCTTTTTCTGAAAAATAACATTCTTTATAAGTATAAAATTATATAAACAAACACTTACATTGGCATATCCTATATCACTATTCCTTTCTAAATATAATTTTCAAGAAACATTGACTAAAATAAATAAAGTAAATGCACTAAGCAAGTTTATAGATGAAATATAAATGCTAATAATCCCAAAAACTTTTTTAGAATTTGGTCAAACTTTTCTAGTTTAACATTGCAAGGAATTCAAATATATCTAGCTTAATTCAAAATCCAAGTAATAACATTTTGCAAATGGTATGCTTTAACATAACAGCTTGTTAGAAAAGGCGGGGCTCCATCTTTTTTTACCATTTTAATCAGTAACTTGCACATGAATTTTATAACAGGAAAAAATATGGTATTTTTCTGTTACTTAATTGCATGTTTACCATCAAACATAACAAATTTTACAGAACCTATTTGAACATATTAAATTCTTACATTTATTAACACATGCCATATGCAGAAAGAATTAATCTTTAAATAATTAAAAATAGCTTTTTCCTCCTTTTTTTTAAATTCTAGAATTATGTATTTATTTAACAATCAAAATAAATAAAATAGAGTTTGTTTTTGATAAAATAAAAATGACTTCAAAAAGTACTCCCAATGTCTACAAATTTAATCAATTTTTAATCTTAGCAAAATCAAAGTATTTAGTATTTTAAATACTACAATTAGCTTTTCATCTGAATACTAAAACTAGCTTTAGTTCATGATAAGGGTTCCCCTTCTCCCGGCATGAGGGCAAAGCTTAATATTTGGAAATTCTGTACGAATATCTTTATATAAACTCCTTACTTAACCTATTTTGCACTATTTTATTTTATGAAAATTTTTTCAGTATTATTTAGCTGCAAATAACAAAATTTCATAATTTTACACACTAATAGAGCTAATGAAAAAGACTATATGTGTTATTTTAACATTTGCTTTATGTTTATATCATACAAGCTATGAAATACACATCATTTCCTTCCTGCTACAGATTTTTCTCAGAACTTCAGAAATGATACAATTTTCATTATATGACAAAATTTATAACAGTTCTTTCTTATTGAATTTCTTACACAGAATACAAAATTATTCTAGAAATTCTGTAACAATTATGATATAACTATCCACATACAAATCTCCTCTTATGTTTTCAAACCGAAAAGAATGAAAATGTCTCAACATAAAAGAGGGTATCTGCACATGCAGTGATTAAGGTTAAAAAGACACAAGCATTAAATATTTTCAATGATGTATACATACCTTATATTGCAATCTGTGTCGTCGTCCTTTCATATGCATTTCTTTTGCATTAGGATCATTGAATTTACATTCACAGAGTTTGCACTGGAAGCTTACAACTTTACCTTCTTCATTCTTTATTTCATCAATGTAATCTTGTCCTATAAAAAAAATTGCACATCGAACTTAATGGAGATAAAAATATATCCTCATCATGCACACAAAGATATGCAAGTAAAAAATATTCTACGAAAATTAGCGGATATACAAAAATAACTACACAGCATTAAAAATTAATGTTTTTAGTATACTGAAAGGACATATCGTCAATGAAAACTAATATCAAAAGGACCCTATCCTATGCCGCAATAAAAGTAGCAACATTAATACCTGACAGTTGAAAACATGTAATTTTTGTATACATGAAATTTACTAATCCAGTAGTTAAAGGCAAAACACTGTTTATAAATTTCTATTAGCAAAAATATGCAGAAAGTAAGCATTTAATGAAAACTCCAACACCTTCATCATTCAGCAACTCGCAGTGTATTGTCTCTATCCCCCAACCAGGTCAGATCATGCAGAATAAGTGTACACTTAAATAAATAAATAAATAAAATAAAATAATTTTTTTTTAAAAATATTATACCGTTAAATTTGGACTGAGGACCAAGGTGTGTTGATTACGGAGTACCTTTGGAATTAAATACAATTACCTTCACATCGTTGTTAATAAGAACTGAAATAAGAAAGTGCATTTGTTAAAGAATGAAGCCTGAAGAAAGGAGCTAATTAAGAAGTTCCTTGGAGAAAAGAGAGATGACTAGCCACAGCTTACCTCATAAAAAGAGCCTTTAGCCCCAACTGAGAGGAAAGCAAGCAGAAGTCGAAACGCTAAGTGGAGTTGGTAGCAGGCATATGCCAGTGTGAATGGTTTCCATGGATTGGATTGCTCAATTATGGCAAAGCACACGAGGGCTATGTGCCTAAAGGGAGGGATGCTTAGTGGAGTACTTTTTAAGGGAAACTGGCTCGCATACACGTGACACATGGGGAAACAATGAAAACGACCATGCAGCCAGCCCGTTCGTGGGATTTGAACCTTGGACCGAACTACCAATGTTCAGAGTCTTTACCGCTCGGCCGCTGGTGGGCTAGTTTTCATGGAAATATGCAGCAATGCTGAAGGTGTGAACAGCGACTCGCAAAGCTAATATTTGAGAAAGATAAGGGAGGTTCGTAACATAAGCGATTCCTAACAGCCTTAACTGGTGGTCAGGGAAGCAGGAGAAGTCAATAGCCTAATATACGAATGAGTGAAAAAGAGAACAGATTGTGGGAGGCTGTCAGTCTGTAATTCTGCAGATATCACGTCAATTTAACTGAATAAATCTGAGAATGATTAATATTGCAGTGAGGGATACATAAAAATTAAAATTGAGAGTGTGTAAATTTTTAAAATTTACAAATTTTAGTTTATTTTTAAATTATAAAGTTGAATTTTGTGATTATAAATTTTTATAAATAAGGGTGCACATAAAAAGGAAATTACTTAAGTGGCATTTTTACAATGTATAAATACTATAACACTCTTTTAAGAGGGAAAAAAAAAAAAAAAAGAGGATCCATTTAACAATATATTAGAGTTAGTAATTTAAAGAACATTCTTGTAACCCAAGCACATGAGATTAAGAAACTGGGATCAGCAATTCCACCAAGATCTGAGTTAACAGTATGTACAACAAAGTATATGTGGAGGAATTTAAGGTCATATGCATTATTTCCACAGTTACCAGCAAAAATAAATTAGACAAAAACCAAAATTTTTTATACAATTAAGAATTTAATGAAACATTGTAAAACAGAACAATGCAATCCAAAATTAATTTTAATATTTGTTTAGAACACAAATTTCTTAAGATCAGGAATATAAATCCTACAGTTAGACAGTTAAGACAATCTTGCAGAAAAGATGTGAAAAATATTATGGTACATTACTGTATAAACTTCCTTTTATTACGATTCAATTAGTTTACAAAAATCTATCCATTTTCAGTAATTTTTTTACCATTACTTATAACTAAAAGTATTAATTCCTTACTTCTATTTACTAATATCATATCCTAAGAAAACTATTCACACATCTATGCTTAATATTAATATTTCTGCCTTTTGAATTATACATGCAATAACACTTACCGACAGGTTGAACTTCATTATCTTCCTTACATCCTTCACCCTCTAAAAGAAATAAATAATGAATTGATTCTTTATATCTACACAAAAAATCAGTTATTTAATGACAGCAAATGCCCAAAAAAAAAAAAAAAAAAAAACCTAAATTTGTTATGTAGCAGGAACAGGCCGACTTGCCCTTCAACACTTTCACTGCCGGTCATGTTAGGTTGTATTGATAGTTAATGCAAAGAAATAGATTTGTATCCTATACCAACTTACTTATTATACGAAATATGTTTTGAAAAAGGTAATAAAAGATTATTATGTGCACCATATTGATTACTAAGCCTTTAAGCATAGAATTTTATGACTAGCGCGTGATCAGCACTACAGGTAAAATTATTTCTGCAATGCAGCATTATGCACTGGTGTGTGGCATTTAAAAGTGAAACAAAATAAATAACAATATGCACTATTTTCATATGAAACTATATCACAAATACATATTTGTGAATTTATTTACAAATACACTGACTACCAATAAGTATTTAGACACTTATGCAAATGACGATATATGAGGTCCTAAGGTAAATTCGGACTCCGCCGGTTTATATCGTGTAGGAAACAGCATCGGCTTTAGTCGCATGTAAGATGTCTCGCAGTTCGGAGCTCTCTGGTTTCGAGAAAGGTATAATTATCGGGTATCACAAATGTGGCCGATCTTTAAGGGACATATCTAGTGATCTGAAGTACACAAAATTGACAGTGCGCTATGTGATTAAGAAGTGGAAGGTGAGCGGTGATTGTCGATAATGTGCCCCGAGTCGGCAGACCAACGAAACTGGGAGATAGAGACCGACGAGTGCTGTCCAGAGAAATTCGGAAGAACAACACCCAACCGATGGCCCTCATCTGCGAGGAGTTTCAACAGGCATCCGGGAGTATTGTTTCAATGAATACCATCCGTAAGGAAGCACATCTGCTTGGTTTTCATGGTCGTGCTGCTGCCCATAAGCCTTTGATCACAAAGTCCAACCGCGCTTCTGGTTAATGTGGTGCAAAGCACATCGAAATTGGACCGTAGATCAGTGGAAACGGGTTCTTTGGAGTGACGAATCACCCTTTAGTACCGTTCGGATGGCAGGGTCTGGGTCTGGCGTCTACCTGGAGAACGTCTCCTTGCCAGAATGCATTGTGCCAACAGTCAAGTTCGGCGGAGGTGGAATTATGGTCTGGGGGTGTTTCTCCTGGTATGGGCTGGGACCCTTGGTCCCCATTCATGGTAAGCTCAACTCCGATGCCTACTGCACTATTTTGGATGACAATGTGCTTCCTACGTTGTGGCAGTTTTACGGGTTGGACCCTGTTACTTTCAGGACGACAATGCCAGTTGTCATGTTTCGACGTTAACCAAGGCTTGGTATGGTGCCAATGGAGTTCATCGAATGGACTGGCCTGCCCAGAGTCCAGACCTGAACCTATCGAGAACCTCTGGGACGAGTTGCATCGCCGAATTCAGGGGTGCACTACCCGTGCAAAATCGGTGAAGGAACTTCTATGTCTTCTCCAAGCCGAGTGGAAGAAAATACCACTAGCTGTCATACAAAGACTCGTGGAAAGTATGCACCGGAGGGTCCATGCTCTAATTACCTCTCGTGCAGGCTCTACCAACTATTGATTTTGAATGAAGTTAGTTTTTCGTTTCTATTACAGGTGTCCAAATACTTATTGGTTTCTTGTTTCTATTCCAAACCGCACACATTTTCAAAACATAATGCTGACTGAACTTGAAAATAAACAATGAGACACTGCACTTCTCAGGCCAGCATGCTTTCTCGTACATGACTAGAACCTGATACATCACACTATGCACAAGAGTGTGATTGGCAGCAAATGTCTTAAGCCAAAAAGCCAGTTTTATTTAGCTAGAAAGACTGTTTAAAAATAGCTTTTCAAGCTCCATCTTTGCATTTAACTTGCTTCCAATGCTCACATTTTACCACCCACTCGATTACAAAACTGTTAATTTTAGTCATGCTTAACCCTTCCAGTTGTAATTATCAATTCTATTGCAATCTACATGTTCCCTTACTCATTTATTTTATTCAATGATGCTGTTTTTATCTGGTTTCACTTTAGGTTTAACCCTTTAACTGTCAAGTTATTTTGATGATTTGGGTACACAAATTGTCAAATTTTTTATTGGAAAAACCAAATGTAGCCGAAATAAACATCTCCCGATATACAATACGATGCACTCAAAAAAAAAAAAAATATCGAGAAATACTCGGGCGTGACATTTTTGAACACCAGTGCTGTGCCTGAGATAATCTCGGGCATGGCAGTTAAAAGGTTAAATAAATAACGACAATTTCAAACCGTCATGCATCTACAGGCATGAAAGTGCAAGTTGGCAAAAAAAGCTGAACAATGTGCAGACACAAAATTACACATAAATTAATTACGCACGCGTGACCTAAAAAAACACATTTTAATAAAATATCAACCTTTTAATATAAAAAGTATTAAACATATACATATAATTAAACTAAAATAATACTTGTACTTACTGTTTTGCTATTAATTTTATCTTCCACTTGTATAAAAAAAATCAATAAATCACCAAGAGATTGTAATGAATTCACCTTCTTTAAGATGCTCTTTATGTAACTTAATTTAACAGTTGATACATGAATACTGTACACAACATTGCAACACACTAATATACATATTTATGTTTATATATTACTGCCCATTTTCAGGCAATCACAAGTTTTAGAGATAATATATATATATCTAACTGTTACTATAGCTTTCAATTATCTTCACTTACATAACACTAGAAAAAGTAGTCATGTAATAATATAGTTACAACATAACATATAGTTAAAGGAGGAATATAAAAAATAACTATTTTGTCTCAGTTGATCCTGATTAAAAATTTTTAGGGTAAAAGCTTTTTCTTTTCTGCTACTTTTGCAGCCAACTTTTCTAATTTCCGTTTGCGAGCTAGTCTCAATTTCTTTTCAGCAGCTTTTACGCAATCCATTGATACTTTATTTTCTGCAATGTTTTCACTCCTCCTTTTCTATCTCTAGCTATTCTTTGTATAGTTTATGAGCATTCCTTAAATATTTACATAGAGTTTTGTGTACTAGAGAATGCAAATGGTTATCCGTATGTCCGACAGATGGCGCCAGCACTGATCGCTGAAATTATTGAAGTCAGCTCTCGTTTGACAGTTGCTTGCTCTTCTTTGATTAAAAATTAGTATGCATCTAGTTCTACCTTACCACGTAAGCCCCACCTACTTCGCCTTGATGTGAAACAACGTATTTCGCGATCTCGGCTCAGGCAAACTCGAAAAGTTCGCAACCAGGGGTGCCCGCAATTGTTAACCCAGAGTAATATTATACGATGGCATGATGTAAAGTTTTTTTTACAATGAAAAGAGGAAGAGAGAGAGCATGTCCTCCATTTACCCCCCCACACACACACACACATTTGCCGGTCGCGGTTTCTCAACGGTTCTGCATCGATCTCAGAAACAGCCCGGGTGACGTTCAAAAAGGCAGAATTCTGCAAAAACGTGGAAAACTTTCATGCCTGATGCATCTACATCAATACCTATTTTCATCAAATAAATCTTGGGGGGGGGGACTGCACATAAGATTTTGGATGCTTCTGTTTTGAATAAAAATTTCTTGCTCCCGAGCTTAATAGTTCGGGAGGGAGAATTAAAAAAATTCTTAATTGAAATATTAAAAAGAACTACATGTGAAAACTAAAAATAATTCTAGTTTATTTTATGCACTTTTTCCAAAAAAAAAAAAAAAAAAAAGTGAGAGAGAGAAGAAGAAGAAAAAGAAAGGGGGGGATTAAAACCTCTACCTTAATGACAGAAAAAATCTTTAAAAAAAAAAAAAAAAAACTTTGCTCTATCAAAACATGAACACCACGAAACAGTACTTAAAACAATTTTATGAAATTTTTCTATGTTTCCACATAAATACTACAAACACATCCACACATCAAAATATCACATTTCTCAATAATAAACTCACTTTCTTCTTCATTTTCTTCTTTAATCTCAGCATTATCTTCTGATTTTGATGCTAAGAAGCAAACAAATGTTAAAGACATTAGCAAATAAAGCTAAAAAGATTTTATTATGTTCAACTCATATAAAATAATAATTAAAAATTTCTATAAATTTTGCTTTTAAACTTGGCACCTTCTGAGGTGCTAAAACTAAAAATCATCCCACTTTGTATGAGCAAAAAGCCTGAAGATTTTTGAATAAAAAAATTCAGAAAAGAAAAGTGCAAAGTGAATTTTTAAGACAAAACTGACACATGTTTGAATATTCTGAAGCAACTACACCAGGAAAAACTCTCGTGAATAAATATAAAAAGACATGAATGATGAAATTAATTTTTAAATAATTATGTATCTTTTTTGCTTTTGCTAAGAAGTGCTTCGAAAACTGCTTTTTACAGCATTCATTATCTTATTTATTTTTCAGAATAAAAATATTAAGACACCCAAAATGGAAAATATCATTTTAAAATCAGACATGGGAAAATGAAAATGTTTTATTCTTAACCTATTTTTTAATTACAGTTCTAATAGATTACCATGATTTTAATATTAATTGATTTTATTATGTTTAAAAAATTGCAAATCTCCAAATGAATTTTTTACACTAATTGGTTTTGGAATCAGCAATACGATAAATTACTAAATTTAGCATTGTGTAATAAAAGAAATTCGATCTCAAAAAGAAAAAGCAGTTTTTATGTAATAATTGATGAACTTCATTCTAAAAAAAAAAAAAAAGAAAGAAAGAAAGAATTTCAAAAGTTAATTTTTCAATAGAGGCAGAGTGTGCTGCTCTAAAATTCAGGAATCACACTGTTTATATTAAGGAGTAGGAACAAATTCAAACGATAACCCATAAACACATATTAAAACATTCCTCAAAAATGTTAATTAACACTCAAAATCAGAGTAAAAAAAATCAATTGAGTAAAATTAAGGACCTTTCGTGGATTCTGACCAAAATGTAGCACATTTTAGGACCAAATATCATCTAAAAAAAACCTAAGGAATTAAGTATTTTAAAAACCATACAAGAAAATCATTAGGGACGAAGGAATAGAATTTGCCCAATTTCGAGTTCATAAATTTCATTTATGGGAGCTACTTTCCTGAGTAAAGACTAAAAATTAAAAACTGGGACCATCAGCAGCTATCGTATACATACACACTAACACATATACACAATGACAAGCTATCAAATTTAAAAACAACTTATTTAAAGATTAATATGTTCTAAAAAACTGGTCAAGTTTTGGGAACTCTAGCAGGCAATTTATTAGTGTTTACATTGAAAAATACCAAATTAAGAAAAAAATATACACCTCTCAGTTTTTATCAAATCAATTATATTTCAATAAATGAATACTTTTAAAAAATTATATCCTCACCAACAAATGTTATTTTAGGTGGGCCTGACTTTTTAACAGTATTTCCTTTCCCTGATGTTTTGTTTCCACTACTTCGAGCCTTTACCAGATGCATTATTATTTCCTGTACTCAAGACCTGTGGTTCTGTAGATGGGATAGGTTTTCCCAATTTGGTATGCAGCTTAACAACCTATTGCAACATATTTAAAAATATATTAGAAAAATGAAAATGCTTATGTAATTAAATAAGGAAACATTAAATAACTAATAACCTTTTGATGCTTTGCTCCTCTTATATGTGCAGCATAGGCATCAGAGCCAGTACATGTCACATCACAAAGCTCGCACTTCAATGTAGTTCCACCTCTCGATACATGATGTATAACTGTACCAGATTTTGCAGCAGCCTCTTTTTTCTTATGTTTCTGTCCTTCTAGATGCTCTCGATAAGTCTAGAAAAACAAATGCAAGACAGTTTAAATATTACATTAAAAAATCATTGTATGATTTTATAAATTTTTTTTCTTGCTAACAGATTAACAACCAAAATTTTATGAAACTCTTAATGATACTATCAAAAAAATTTTTTTTAAAGTTTAAAAATTAACACACTAGCCCAGTATGATGGAGCAAAATTAAGGACTGTTTGCAAATTTTGTTTAAAATTAAAGACTTATATTATATTTAAAGAATAAAGAAATCATTTCACAAATACTTAAAGGATTTTTAATAATCGTACGAACCCTGTAAATACTTGACAATAATGTTAAGGCCCCGGTTTACATTTACATCACAAATGATACTATTATTATTACAAAAGGAACATTTTCTGCTGTTTATAATTCGCATTCAAAACTTTACCTAGTAATCATGCATAACATAAGAATTGTATTTTTTACATGTAATGGTTAGTCTTTCATTAATAAAATTTTAATGTTGCATAATTAACACAACCGTGTTAAGTAAGTCACAAGAAGTATCGACAATTTATGCAGCATGAGTCAAGTTTACTTATGATTTTTTTAAAAAAAAACCTACCTGTGGTCCAGCACAGCTGATCTTGCACACTTCACAATAATGCAGCTGCTGAGGCTTCGGGGGGAGTTTAGGACGAGCCATTCTAATAGGCCCTTTCTTGAAAGACATCCAATTATTGGAATGAACTTTAGGAGTAGTTACAGCACTGGTTGTAGATGACTGGATTGTTTGAACCTGTTGTGGCTGTTGCACAATGCTTGATTGTGCAGCTTGCACAGGCTGTACAGTAACAGAGGGCTGTTGTACATACATTGAAGCTGGAGGGGAAAAAATTATAATATGCTAAATATTTTTAATTGCAAAAAATGTGCTATATTTGTTATAAAGGCACTCTTTTTATACTTCTCAAGCCTGGGAAACAATATTATAAATGGGGGGGGGAAGAAGGCTGAAGCAGTAGAAATTACAAATTTTTATAAAAAAAAGCTAAATAATTCCCTTAAATAATGTAAAACATTATTGCTTCAAATGATTCGGGAATAATTCAATTGAAAATAACTAGGACTTTAATTTTGAATCTAATTTAAGTAAAAGTACATCAGCAAAAAATTTGTGGGCCAGATCATGAATTTGCTTTTTTTCATTACATATTTTTATATTGTACATATGATTGGAATGAGAGGTTATTCAATAGAAACACCAACTGAGATATGCAAAATTCACATCATAATGCAACAAGAAATACCATGTAACTACAATACAGCACTGCTGTGATGTACAGCATCACATATGTGCTGCTAAAGAAACTTGCAACTACTGATATGTGCTACTAAAGAAACTTGAAAAAAGAAAAAAAAGAAGCAAAATCTGATTTTGTTGTCACACATAAAAAATATTGCCTATGACAGAAAAAAAAATTGAATAAGTAGTCACCCCCCCAAAAAAACATAAAATTACAAACAATCTGATATTGATCAATGCCTGTGATGATAATATACAAATACCATATGAGACGGTGATGCATTTAAAATTTATTCTTTTAAGGTTTCAGGTATTACTTCCAATGTTACGGTGCAGGGCCAAATAGCGGATCAACACAGCAAAAAGCAGCAACACGGTGACAGCTTTTAAAAGCATTTCCAAAAAGCAGGGAAACCCCAATACATGACGATCACGCAGCACAAGAGTGAATGAAAATGCTGATGACGTATTGATAAAGCTCTTAATCTCCAAAGAAAAATATACAGCATATGTTAAAAGAGTTGTATGTACCAGGGTCTGACGTATGCTAAATGATAATGATGCTTATTCTTATTTGATACAGGTATTTCAAGAGCTGTAGCAACCTGACTTCAATCCTCACATGCAGTACAGTAAATGTGTTTTAGCAGATCTATATAATGATCCCCATTACACGAGTAGTTGACTGTTTTCTGATGCATGTCATGTTCTCCTCAGTAAATCATGTAAAAAAAAAAAAAAAAAAGAGTTCCCCACCCCCCACTGAGAGATTCCGCAAACCACAAAGATCATTCCATTTGATGTGGGCAGCAATTTCAAGTCATAGGAAGTTCTAAGGTAATGTCATGTTAGGTTTACAAACAGTTTGCAGTCCGCATGATCTCGATTTCCATCAGCAAGTCTTTCAGCAAGACAAAGCTCACCATCCATACAGGCCAAGAAGATGACTGGTTTCTAGAGGAATTGACTTCTTTTCCTCCTAGAAATCCAGACCTAACAATATGTTATGCTTCTTGTGGGGAATATTAAAAAAATGCTTAAAACACATTCCACAAACTGTGAAAGATCTTTGTGAGAACATTTAATCAATAATTGGGGATACCAGCCTTCAACAGTGTTCACATACGTTGTGACCAAAAATGGTTAACATGCAACATGTATTTATCCTTGATAGACAGCATTTAGAACATTTTATAAGGTATTTATTTCTCCCGACTTCTTAGCATGCCTCTGTGGTGTGGCGGTTAGCAAACATGGTGCGTAATCGAGAGGTCCATGGTTTGAGTCCTGGTGAGGACACTGATCATTTTTCATCTCTTCTGCTTTGAATTGAAAAAATACCTAATGTCTCTACAATGTCTTTGTGCAATATAAGCATAAATAAATAAATTAAAGGCAGTAGGTTTTGATTACACCCTCCCCCAACTTCCCTTTTACATGCAAAAATATAAAAACTTCATAAAGATTATTTATTGTGTTACAAAACATACTACTAGAAATTAACAGGCTTTATATATAGAAATTGTGTATGACAATGAATGGGAAAATATATTTAGAAATCCTGATAATCGTATGCACTAGAAAGGGAAGTAACAATTATGTCTATTTCTTTATAATTTTACTTACAAAACTGATAATCATTAAAGCATCGTTACTTTTCTTGTGATTTGGAACATAACAGAATTTCGAAAATATTAAAAATTACAATTAACCACTAAACAGGCAAATCTAGAGGTCTAACAATTATGATAATAAAATCAGACTAAAACACATTTAATGCAGAAAAACTTCAGAAATGATTTATACCAGAATAGGTTGTAGTTGCTGCAGAACTATTATATGCAGAACTATAGTTAGATGCTGAAGTTTCCTGATGATGCACCAGTAGAATACAGATATGAAGTGGCTGATGGTTGGGCAGTCTGTGTTTGAGCTTTTGCAGAGGCTGTTTGTCGTGTATTATAACTGACATTCGTAGTAGTTGAATATACTGGCTTATTACTGCTCACTAAAAATGAAATGAAAAATAAATTCAGAAACTCTAGTTTGACTATCATTTTACACAGGATTAACTTTCAGAATTTTTCAGACCAAAAATGAATTATTAATACCTAGCATTATCAATCGCAATTGCTTTTTTTGTTGCATATTTTCATTTTTGATGATTTCATGGAACTTGAATTTACTTGAATACTTCTAGCATATAAAGAAATATGTACATATCTAGACTAATTCTTTATCAATACATAAATTTATTATGAAAAATTTAAAAATAATCCAAAATATTTTATATATTTATACCTTAACCAAAACAGCTCATTAGACTGTCACAGATGTCACATTAAGGGAGGAGAAAAGCATTTAAATTGGAAAATTAAATATTTGTTTTATTATAATAAAGCATACATGGGCTATCGGTTTAAGGGGAGGGAAGCCTTTGATTTATTATTCATAGAAATTTATGATACATATTGTTACGAAATGTACAGGTACGGTAAAATAGCTTCTCCACAAAGCAGGTTTAGGGTTGCCACATCGCTCATTTGGTGACAAAATCGGCGAAATGCCATGGACAGACAGAGAATCTTCTGGAATGAATTCTTACCGGTTTAGCCCAGAATGTGCTCGAACACAAGCCAAAAACTATATAAACCCTGCTGGTACGCGAAGAGAGAGTGCGAGAGCTAGTCAGTCTGTGTGGAGTCAATAGAGTTGACAGCCAGGCAGCGAGTGCCGAGTGGGTTGTTGAGTGCATCGAAAGAGTCTCTTAGTGTATCGGGGTTATTGCATCGTCGAGAGAGTGTGTTGAGCTCCGGGAACGACTGAACCAAAGAGTCAGGAACTGTGCCCTGTGTGTCGTAGAGTGCATCGCGAGTTGTAATGTGGAGAGTCTCGAGAATACGTGGAGTTCCGAGAATGACCAAGCAGAGTCGGGTGCTGTACTCTGGTGCCTTGCAGTGAAGCTCTCTCCACCTGATAACCTGAAGGCTGTATCGTTGATTGTTCCAGTGAGTGTATAGTAGATCTTCGACGACTGTAAAAAGTGACTTCAGAGCCGTCCTGATTAATATTGGCTAAATAAAGTGTGTTTCGATATTTCATCAAGTGCTGTCGTTGTTATTCATTCCAAATCCACATGAACCCCGTACGAACGTAACAAGTGGTGTAAGAAAAAAACGTAACAATATGAGCATCCATGCAGCCAGTCCTACCACCAGGACTTGAACCCAAATTCAACGATCAAACTTCCACTTGACCACTGGAAAATCAAGAAGTACCACTGCATTGATAACTTCTTTTGCAACATATGTATTTGAGATAATGTATTGCACTGAATTTTGTTGCCAGTTATGGAAAATAGTGGTAAAATTTTCTTTTTAAAGAAGAGGTGCTTTAGAAAAAGAAGGAAGTTCTTGTTTGAATCATACACAAGCAAGCACATGGGAGCCAACCTATTCAGTTAGCAGAAACAGAACTGATGGGCTAAGCTTAACCAAAAAGGAAGACAGAGGAGTGAATCCATCTTTCACCAGGCAAGCCGTAATAGATTTTTGCATACTGTTTCCACATAAGAAACTAATCAAATAAAATTTGCTGGAAAGCTGTGGGGTACCTCTGAGCTACCCAAAAAAATAATCATTTTAATTAGCTTTTTATCGTAAGTTTTAATGTTTTCACACCCAGAATGATTTACAACTACACTGTACTTTAGCTTTCATCAGCTTTTTATCTATTAAACTCTCGATTTTCAAACAGAAACTTAAAAGTAACATCCTAAAACCTCAATTTATGATGAAGACTTCTAATACAGTACAAAGTCCGAAATTCAGACTCGTTCAGACTTTGGCGATTCCGGATTTTTCCAGATACTAGATCATCAGTTTAAATCTAGTAAGATGGCATGTAAAAATTATAAAATTAAAAATATGAAATAGTGATTTATGACATAATGAAGTATTTATGATCTAAAAGGTATCAAAATTTACAAAAAAAAAAAAAAAAAAAAAAAAAAAAAAAAAAAAAAGGAGCTTAATATTTGCTAAGTAACCGCATTAAACATTTCTTTCAATGCAAGTTGTTTAAATTGCTGTTTTTTGTGCTAATACTTTCTCTTTAATTCTGTAGACGGACATAATCTCTTGGTCAGTTATATTGTTGAAGTGCTGTAACTGCTCTTTGGAGAAATCCAACTAACTTGTCAATTGAAACTTTCTCGTTTTCAGCAACTTCTCTGTCACTTTCTTCACTATCGGTAGTGGTATTTTCTGGATCTAGACCCATACTACAGATTTCGCCATTCATTAATTGATTAATGATTGAGAAGCACGGTCATCAAAATGAAAAACATCTTTTATATCATCTTCATTTATTACCACTTCTCCAACATTTTACAAAATTCATTAATTGGAAATTTTCACCTTTGTTTTGCAATACCTGGAAACCTTTAAAATTAGCTGATATCATCTTTAGCTTGGCGGCTAACGATAAATTGTTCAGTTAAATTTTATCTTGCTTCTATCGTACACTGAGACAATTAAGCCTAGACAATTGTACTAACTAGACAATTGTACTAGTTACTTATTGTACTTATGTCTATTTCTTTCACATGCTTAAGGCTTATCAGGGTTCTGAATAAATTTCCACATATACTTAAGCCTTACTGATGGCTGGCACTAGATATCTTACCGCCTGATGCAGTCTATGTGGGTCCTAAATTCTGCGACTCTGGCCATACAAGCCCTGGTGCTGGTTCTAGATTAACGTGAATAACAAATAAGTTATTCTTAATTCAAACAGCCTTAAATGCAATGTCTATGAGTATCATAAACAAAATCTATTTTTAGCATATGGAAAGAAATTTTGGGTAAATTTTTTCTCGTCAACATTTTTAAGCGCATTCAACTTAAATATGTAATCATCGCCAAGCGTAATGTCAACATAAAAGGTGACCATACTCCTTTATTATTCAATTACTAACATAAAAAAAAATGTTTAGGCATCACTACATGAGTCATTACTCAAGTTGTCATGTTTTGATAAGCATGCGGGGATGAAAGGAAAGTATAATAATTTACCAGGTTGGCGTCAGATCAACGATGTATCTATGTGGAATGTTTCGGTTTGAGATGTGTGCCAAAAAGCATATACGCAACGATGGAGCAAAATTACTGATCGTACAAATTTATGCTAAAACGTTTGTTTCTTCAATAACAAGGTTATAGTTTTGGAGCGAAATTAAGAATCAGGACTCTCCAGATGTTTTATTATGTGAAGGTGGAATCAAATGTGCATGCATAAAGCCTAGGAGAGTAACACTGTTGGTGATTTGGAGGTCCATATCATTCCGGATGATGGATGGCCTATTTCGGACTTCGTACTGTAATGCCCAGTTAATCTCATACAGGCTTAATTTCCCTGCCCCCAAAATAAGTGAACTAATTTAAAATGAGATATTAATCCTTTACCTAGCAGCTCAATGAAACAAATTTCATTCTCCAATGAATTTATTTCTTGACTGTAAAATGGCATACACAGGAGAGCACTTGAAATACTTAAAACTGGATCATATGTTGAATGGTGAAATACTCATTTTTTCCCCCCAGATATTATATTTTTAGAATTCTACAATGCTACTTTCTTTTGAAGAATTAGATTCCAGTTTCAGACTGCAATCCCCTCCCATCGCCCCCCCTATCAATACCTGCATGGAAAAGGTAACCTTTACTTCTCTTCAAAACAATATTCTCATGTCTTACCTGTTTTTTAATTAAATTTTATAATACCCTATTATAGATACAAACATATACAACAGATTAATTAATACCTCTTTTCTCCTTTCATTTTTCCATATATTTTGCATTATTCATTTTCCATCTGTTGCACATCTCTAATTAATTTAATCGAGTATCCATAATATTAGATGTTTCTCTAAATTTAGTCATTAACATTTGCATTTAGTTCTTTTTAATGCATAAATAAAATAATCAAAATTTTCCATTAACACTGAGAATGCTCACTGAAGTCACTTTGACTCCAGTGGGATTTATAAGGTAGACATATACGAGAGCACAATAAAAACATTCAATTAAAAATTTTAATTTATTATTAGGAACGATAGATAAAAGTATTACTAAAAAAAGGGGGTAACTAAATTTACAGTTTTAAGAAAATGGCATGTTTTTCACAAAATTCAAATACTTACAATTTTTTTAACCTAAAATTCAGGAATGCAATTTTTGCATGCACAATCTAACTTGGCATAGCATTTTCTGCATACAATTTTCTTGTAAGAAATATTAACACTAGTAGTCACATTGCCATTACAAAATTTCATTTTACATTTCCTCCTCTTTGGTGGAACTGTTCTGCTTGCATTTCTTTTTGATTATCAGTAAGGCAAATATAGTTTTGATGCATTTCATCAGCCAACATATGGATGAACATACGTCTTGTGATTGGTTTTTCAGTAAATTTTTTAAAAATAATCCAGGCATTTATTGCAGCTGAATCAAACATATTGCAAAAAGTATGATAAAAGCATCTTCTAGAAGCTGCTTTTACAGTGTACTTTCTAGCGGATCCGTGACACTTAGCCGACGGGGACAGTTATCCAACAGGACATTTAGCTGACACAGACAATTAATTAGCCAACAGGACATTTATCAGAAAAGGACACTTAGCCGACACAGAAAGTTAGCCGTCAGGACATTTAGAGTTACAGGACACTTACCTGTCAAGACATTTAGTCAACGGGTTACTAAGCTGACAGTGACGTTTAACTGACACGTACCAAAAATTATTTAAACTATCAATTACAAAATTTCTCGACTACTCCATAAGTTCAATATATAAGTCATTTTTTCACATATCAGTAAAATTCACTTTTCGATTCTTAAAGATCTCACGTGCTTTTAATTATTGTGATAATTTAGCATTGTTTGATACGTATCGTGCTGTACATTGGCCAAATTGAAAAAGTGGTAAAATTTCTCTAAAATAAAACCTTAA